CGATACAGTCTTTAGAGGTAAAATGAAATGAAATGAAATGGAGTTGAGCGTCCTACTGTTCTGCCGGAACTGGGCTAATGAAGACGGACATATGCCATACAGTGTGTTATGAGTGAAATTTAGCCCGGACAGCAGCACTACAGCCTACTCTTATATCGAATTCCAACTGTCAAGGGATCTTTATGTGCTCGCCAATGTGTACACAGGACCTCGGTTTTCCATCCCATCCAAATGACTAGACAGTTGTCCTTGTTAGGTCCTCTGTCCTGCATCACTGTCTTTAAAGATAAAGCCTTGATACAATGGATGAACTTATTGATGTATTGTCTAATTTTTTAACCATCCTGTTTACCTGTACTACAGATGTTTCATGCTCTTTAACAATCATGCTTATACAACCTCTGACCTTTATAGAATTGGTAGTTAAAAGCAGGTTCACCTGTCAATACGAACATCTCGTTAGAAGGTAGAAATACCTGGGTTTCATAGGACTGCTCTGGATTTGATACACACACCTGTAGATGTGGTTGTATATTGTTAACACCTCCATCCCTCTATATGTCATCCCCAATTTCTTGTGAACATTCTACAGTCTATAACAATTACCACCTGATCTTTAAAATTTATTTCTGTTGTATACTACATAGTGAAGCAAAGAAGCCTATTATGGCCATTGTTTTATTTTGTAGAATCTTGTGAACACTCTTATGATTTTACCTAAAGATTGACTATGGAACATTTGCAGATTGCTTGGATGACTATATAACATATGCTGTGGTATATGTTTCGTTTCCTGGCAACCTATCTGTTAGCATGTACAGACAGAAAATGTTAAGATCGGATGGTAAACACTGCACAATAAAGATCCCCTGGCACATGGAATGTCTTTGCCTCCAATTAATTTTTACCACAAACAGTATACTGTATTTCATTGTGACAAATGTAATGATAACATTCTCCTATGAGACTTTTAACCAAGAGTAAAGACCTGTTAGCCAATACTGGTCCTGCAACTGTGTTTGATAGACAAGATTAGTTTGGAATATATTACCCATTGAGACTTCTCAAGATCTTGAGATGCTTCCAAACTTCTTCAATGAAGTGATTGTCAGTTTTCTCAGACTTTGTAGAATTAAATACATTGTGGATTTTTATATTGAGAAAAAAATGGCTCTTTTAGAAGAAGTGTTTTTGGGGGATGAAATGGCTTTTTTAGAAGAAGGGTTTTTTTGGTGTGTGTGGGGGGGGGGGGAATACCATTTGTGACACGCCATGTGACTGTCATCCACTTTTAAAGATGACTTACAATGTGTTGCATTTTATGTTGGCAGCCGCGGCAGCACAGAGATTAAGACTAGGTTGTAGCACCGATGTCGAACAAAATTCCCTCCTAGTCCTAGCACACTGTATTGGGTATGCCCATCTTCATTAACCCAGTTGGAGCAGAACAGTAGGACGTTAAGAAGAAATTGGCAGATGACAAGTTTGAAAAAGTGTGAAGCATTTTATGGTTCCCCCCTTATTAAGTTAATTTCTTGTTTCATAGGGCAAAGAACTGTATTTCCTCATAATAAAATGTTGGGACTAATGATATAAATAATGGTATATCTGACAGGAAAATCCCATCATTATTATTGAGTTTTGGTAGTATGACCCTGGTATCTTGAAAATAAAAGCAGATTTTTGGCATCCCTTGGAACTTACAGCCAATGGGCTCTGGGTTGGTGTTCTAACATCTCATGGGAACACGGTGGTTCAGTCATTGGGTCAGTGCAGACGTTAAACCCTATTCCCTTCCATTTCACCATTCCCATCGATTATCGTTATTCACCTCGGAAAGTTTTTGACATAGACCTTAAGTTAGTTGTCCAGCATTAATAAAGAGACGAGCAATAGGAATAGACTTTGAATTGAAATGAAATGGGATTTAATGTCCTTCTGTTCTGCTCCGACTAGGCTAATGAAGACGGGGGCATAGACGTTGACCATAACATTAGTTTAGAATAGTGACGGACATCTGTGATAATCTATTTCTTGTTCCACCGGATCGGACAGCTATTGATATAATTAGACACGGTTTAAGATTAAATTGATTCGGACGTAAGTATGGCTGAAGACAGATAAACTGAGTAAAGTACAGGTTTCATTTCATCTTATATTGTCGTCAAAGCGTGATGGAAATCGACTGGGATATGATATTCAATAAGATCTTTGTCTGTTACATGAACATTCAATCAACTTGCCAAACTCCTCAATAGATGGTTATGAAATGTCCAAGCGCTAATTAGCCGTCATACGAATTTATAAATAGAACAAGAGCAGACACTATTATCTGTGCTGCCACCTGTGCCAATATATGGACGGATATAACCTACATTGACTCTGATTGGTCAATTTAAGTCTCAAGCTGAAGTTAGGACGTGCATCTATTGCGTTAATTAACTGTTAGCTTTTGTGGTAACGAGCCTCTTTCAGAACCTTCCTGGCAGGGAATCGAGACAATAACCTCAATTCTGTATCTGAGGCCAAATAAGGTCATTATAAGTTAATTAATATTCGTGGTGTCTGATAGATCGGACGGAGGGTATTCATGACACGACTTTCAATCAAAACGATAAGCAAGACGATGAAAGGAATTTAAGATAAGAGTATAAGGTGTGATTCTTTGTATTATTTCCTGCTTCTTTTAATTCCTTTTATTTACGAACTAATAGAGACAAGATATCGTTACCCAGATCTCTGTTAATACCGTCTGTTCTCAGAAATACCAACAACTTCACAATCGTCTCAGTGTATTCTATTGATATATATTTCTTGGTTCCTTTAATTCTTTTTAAATGGATCGGAGCACAATGTTAATACCGTCTGTTCTCAGAAATACCAACAACTTCACAATCGTCTCAGTGTATTTTATTGATATATATTTCTTGGTTCCTTTAATTCTTTTTAAATGGATTGGAGCACAATGTCAATACCGTCTGTTCTCAGAAATACTGACAACTTCACGATTGTCTAAGTAAAAAAACAAAAAAAAACAGGATCTGAACACAGCTTATGAATAGTGTATTCAATTAGTTCTGTTTAATATCGACAACTTCATGATTTTCTCAGTAAAAAAAGGAATCTGAACACAATGTTAATATCGTCTGTTCTCAAAAATACTGACAACTTCACCATCGTCTCGCTAAAAAAAACCTCACAGCTTACGATAGTGTATTTAATTAATTCATCTACTTGAGACGGGAGTAATATACATTGATGATTGAAAAAAACAACAGACGGTGGCTCAACACTCTCATAAAACCTTGTCCTCTTGATGCCAATCACTTAAAATTTGAAATTCCAGGAACATTCTTATTTCTTAGAAATCGTCCTACAATTGAGTAGGTTGTTTTTTTTCGCTAACTTTTAACAGGGAAGAGTACAAATAAATCATTTAAGGTGCATTTTATAAAAGAACAGTCGAGGATTTCACAGAGTACCTGCTGATGATATATTTGAGTTTAATTATGTGAAATTTGCCTTATAGTCAAGATTTTGAGTCATTTTTTCTGATTGTAAGACGGAAATCTGGCTCTTGCTTTGCACCAACATGGCAAGTTAATTCAGTGCTCATGTTGCTTAATCTTTTAATATATAGATCAAAATATATGCAACATACCTTCTTTTATTTCTATCTGTTTCTCTTTCAAAATTCCAATATCTATGCTTGTCATGACAAGACATTTCCTGAACAAAATTATTCTTTGGACAAACAAAAGCAGCTGCTTAACTAGAAGTTAATGAGTGCAAAAAAATTAAATCAGTGACTTGTCTTTGATGACTTCTTTAGTTTTTTCTCAACAGAAGTTTTACTAATGTCACTGGATTAATTATGCTGTGTGAATGAACGGAGACAATTGATTTCAGACTGCATGTTGTAACATCTTCAGAATTTTCAATGATTAAACTATCAAAGGACAGATATCGTACAAACAAACTACAAAAAATCGTTAGGTTATGTGATGTCAGGTGTTACATACACACTTAAGTTATTGGGACAATGGGCCTGGCTATTCATTCGGATGGGATGAACATTTTAAAAGGGTCCTGTGTACACATTGGCTTGCATGTGAAATGAAATGAAATGGGGGTTAATGTCCTACTGTTCTGCTTCGACTGGGCTAATGAAAACAGGCATAATTATGCCATACAGTGTGCTATGAGGGAAATTTTGCCCAGACAACTGCTCTGCGAGCTACTCTTCTATTTAATTCCATGTCAATGTGTACACGGGGCCTCAGTTTCCTGTACCATCCAATCAACTATATGTTGTCCCTTGCCAGGACCTCGGTCATGCACCATGCCAGAATGTCCAGATGAACATTCTCGGCCAATGCTGGGATTGAACACGGGACCTCCATGAGCGAGCCAACATCTTACTCACTGAAACACTGTAACTCCCAGGAGTGCATGTAAAAGATCCATAAAAAGTTGGAATTCAGTGAAGAGTAGTCAGAAACTCTTCTGTACTTGTCCAAATTTCTCTCACAGCCTGGTTGGTACAGAAAAGTAGGAAGTTAAACACCATATTATTTCATTTATATACTTTCTGATTACCCAACCAATAAAATTAAAATGGCATACTGTTCAAAAGTCTTCATGGAGATCTATAATAAGAAAGCAATCAAATACATATATAGCAAATACCACATGCAACAGGTCAGGATGTACTGTACTCTTTATGGAGTTATGTCCCTTTACCTATGTCATCAACTAGAGCCACATTCAACAAAAATCAAATTGTTTCAACAAGCATTATTGCTGAAAATTTTTTAAAAAAGATACACCTTCTCTCTCCCCCCCCCCTTGTTCCCTCTCACATCCCCTTCCCTTACAACATACTATATAGAGAGTAGATACATACTGCAGAAGAGTATTAATTTATGAATTAAAATTTTCAAAATTAGAGACCAAGGTTGAGATTGTCATGACTTTATTACTGATTTCTTTATTTTCAGCACCTCCAAGAATCACATCAAGTTCACCAAAATTATTACAGCGGCGTCGTGGTGATAGTATAGAACTCTTCTGTGAAGGGAAAGGATCTCCACAACCAACGTTAACATGGATGAAAGATGGCCGAGTTATTAAAGATACCTTACGTATGATTGTTGAGATGAATAGAGTTAAAATTCAGAATTTACAGCGAGATGATGGTGGAGTGTATATGTGTACATTTATAAATACTGTAGGAGAAGTAGCACAGTTAATAAAATTAGTTGTAGAAGGTAAGTTTCTTATTATTGTTTAAAATAGGAAAGGGAGGGCGGGGGGAGAGACCAGCGATTGGACACACTCTCTTCAAGGAGTAGCAGAGGCTGGACATGCTCTCTTCAAAGAGTAGCAGAGGCTGGACATGACGGTAGATCTGTGTAGCTACTGGATCAAACGATGATGCCGGTGGAGATATTGGACATTAATATATATTTAAAAATGATCAACAGTCTTTTTAACCTGAAACAATATAAAAATGGATAAATCACCTCTCATTTGAACCTAAGTCTGTACTGTTAAACAGGAATTTTAAATATCTATGGTTTAAAATATTAGCTACAATAACAGGTTACTGGTATTTTTAAAATATCTATCGTTTAAAATATTAGCTACAATAACAGGTTACTGGTATTGTCGTTTTCCTCATACAAATCTATCCTATGATTTGTCCAAAGCAGGTTTCCTTCTCAATCTGTTTAAGCATCAGACATGTTTGGTTGAGTTAAGAGGCTTTTCAAACGAAGTAGGGTCAATAAGCTTCCATTTCCTCTAACGTCACATACTTCAAGAAATATATTGCTTGATATTTTGTATTTATGTAGCGTTAGTTATTCTGAATATTTAAGACATCCACAAAAATATGCAAGAAACCCGTAAAAGTTTTTCCATTCTTGGATTTGTGTAAGAACAGTGGAGAAAAAGGGTGGGGGGGAGAATGCCTGGTAGTGATTTGCAAAAATCTGGGTCTGTGCTTCTTAGAAACTATGATAATCCCTAAAAGCCCCTTTATATAAGGTTGGGAATATATCTCCAGGTGTACAAAATTAAAATGAGGATAGTTATTATCGATACAGGTAATGAAAGACAGTATAGGTCTACTGATTAATGAGTATATTAGTAAGTTAATAAGGATAAACATTTATTTACCATATAAATACTTTCTCTAAAGGAGTCTTGGCTAATAAATGATGTGTCTAGAATATATATATATACCTGTCTGGTTGATTATCCAGGTAGATATAATATTTACCTATGTAAATGATGAGGTTAATGACAGGTGATGTAACAACATGATGAAGCAGGTAAACATAACTAACCTTCATCAGTTTTATACTAAAGGTCAAACTGTAGTCTTCATGTCTACCTGATATGAATCAGAAAGAGGGGGAGGGGGAGAGAAAGCAAGAGATAGGGATCCATATTTGTTCTTTCAGTAATTTTCTTGGGCGTGGGCGTCTTTAGCCGTGGGAGGGATTGAAAACACATCACTTGACTAAATATACAATAGACCTTAGTTTTGATTTCCAACAGTCCGATGATCTTATGTTCTCCCAATGGTATAAATGGGACCTTTGTTTTCCGACTCATCCAAATGCCTGCTCTTCATTGATTTTCAAATGCCAAGGGTTCTTTTCTGAGAACTTTAATAAAATCTTCCTGTTAAAAAATACAGACGTATTCTTCTATTTTGACTTTTACTATTTATCATCATTTTATTCAGAAATGTTGACCTGTAATAGTATACAATAGTTAGAAAGATTATAAAGAGAGAGTTATTATTGATAATAGGCCTATGTAATAATGTACAATGGTTTGAAAGGTATAGACAGATATATCTGTTATTATTGATATATAATAAGACTATTATGATGATGATGATTAAAGTGTGTAAACCTGGAGGGTATATATACTGTTCTTGCCATGGGTGGTGGCCATGGTTAGGAGTTGATCAACTCCACACAGATGATCGATAGTAATTACCTGTACCAGTTCGCTGTTTATACCTGTTCATGGTTTATCTGTTGCGTACATCAATGCATTTAGCCGTCGGAAACCGCTTTCATAAAGACGTATATAGCTTTTGAAATCAAGTGGCTCATTTTTTCAAAAATTAAATATTAAAAAATTCAATGATTGATCATCATTTGAAATACCATGAATAAAGGTATCATTTAAAGTTTTTATATTATGTAAGATTTAGATAAAGAGCTGGCTATAATAAAAGTTCAAAAATAGGTAATAAATACATGTATATTGAAAATTTCAGTCAAATTTTATTCTGAGCAAGGTTGTGAGTGTGCAAAGTTTTGACAGGATAGTCTTGATTGTCAAGTACCACTGGTAGGAAAATAAAGAAAAGTCTTAAGTATTGATTGTAACGTTAAATTATTAAATGACATGTTTCTAATCCATTTAATATCATGGCCATCCAATAGTCTACAGAGTTGATTATAGACTTGACATGTGAATATTGTCTAATTAATAATTTATGTAACATTTGTAGCCAATTAAAGACTGCACTAGACGTAGACAGAATTAGCTATTACATAATGCTTCTTTAATTAAATAGTAAATATTTATAAGTAGGGTCAAGAAGTTGGAAATATCTCGGAATGAAATGAATATTAGCTAAAATTAATCTTAAAACAGTTTAAGACACATCTTGAATATATCTGAAAGAAAGGTTCCTTAAAGGCTTATACTTTTTATCAAGCTGCTTTTAAACAGTGACCCTTGTCCACAGTCTTTCTTTTGGGTTCACTTTGTGGTATCTAATTGGTCATTTTTATGGCCTGGAGGGAAAGTTGACACCCCATGAAAAAACAATCCACAGCTGGGGATGATCGGGAAGCAGCTGTAAACATTAAGGTCGTGAAACAAACCTTATAATTGTTCATTCCCTTTCAAAACCCAACTCAGCGGGACTCCAACTCTATTGGTCAGTTGTAAATTTAAACAATTAAAGGGATTGTAAAGGACAGTTAACTATTTACAGGGGTATTAAAAAGATATTTTAAAATGGCTTTGTGTTTGAAATATACTGGACTAATGACATCATGTCCTCTTGACTTTCGGTGTAGTCAAGTGACTACAAATTCAGGGTCCGAGTTCACAAAGCATTCTCAGACCTAAGTTAAGAATTTACTCAACTTTCAACACAAAACTTTGTATATAGTTTCTTATTGATGTATTTGATACATTAAAACAACAAAGGTTTTATAAAGGGCTATTTTTTAGTTAAAATAAGGAAAACAATTTTGAGTAAATTCTTAACTGAAGTCTTGAGAACCTTTTGTTGTGAACTTGGGGCCAGTTTAATTCCATTCACTTGATAAAAAAAAGAAATATTTTAGAAGTAGCATAAAAATGATGTTTTTATTCTTGCCTGATCTAGAGAGAACATTAGGAGAATCATTATTGTGTTAGTAGTTGACCAAAATTTAAAAAGTCTTATGCTTATATATTTATTTTTCCTTCCATTAACAAATGAGATATGTTAAAATTTTCTGATGGGCCTCTTTTTAATCTGATTGTCTGTTGTTGAGATTTCTCAATTAAATGTTTGATAATCAACTTGAGTACATTTTTAGTGTGGATTAACCCGTTAAAAACAGAAATTGTCCAAAATATGCAAATGGTGATCATTGAAATTTAATATAAACTTGTCTGTAAGTAGTAGACAGTAAGCATACTATAAATCCATTTTTAAAAAGATTTATATATGGATCCAATCAATCAGTTAATGTAAGTTGTCTTTTCCCTCCAGGTAATACATGGTCCTTCGGATGACAAAACCTTTGATGTTTTAGAACCCTATTATGTATAGATTAGGGACCATTGTTGCCATTAACATTAATCTTTATTATCTAGATTACCAACCAAAATAGGTTAACAGTAACTCATTTACAAACAATAACATTAGTTACGCTTCTGTCAGTTCAATCATTTAAAGGGTTAAGAAATAGCTGTTTATGGGGTTTTATATATTTAAAGGGTTAAAAAAAACAGGGGCCTTGGTTAATTGATTGATCCCATGCTTAATACACTTAACAAGTAAAACTGTATTTAAAATATTGATCATTTGATTATTGGGAAGTAATTAGTTGTAGATTTCAGTTTTATTCATACACACCCCTCCCCACATACGAAAAACATATAAACAATGTTGTCCTCTTAATTGATTCATTAATCTGTGTGAAGTATATTATAGGTGTATACTATTATTGTGTATTATTATACTTTGTATACCATAAAACATGTGTTTATTCCATGTGTATACAAGGATTTTGTATACTTAATCAAATGTATATTCCATGTATTTTAAATACTGTGGATTTGATTAAAGATATTACATGTGTATTACACCACTGTGTTTATTCAGTTTGGTTATAATAGTTTTATATGACACTTTTAATTATGGCTTTGTATCACACCTTCTTTATAGGTTTATATCCCACTTTAATATAGTTTTATATCCCACTTTAATATAGTTTTATAGGACAATTTAATATAGTTTTATATTACACTTCATTATAGTTTTATATCACATTTATCATAGTTGTATATCACATTTATCATAGTTGTATATCACATTTATCATAGTTGTATATCACACATATCCAGACTATATCCCTGATGCATTGTTTAAACAATATTTTATTCAATATAATTACATATAATTATACAGTTGTATAGTCTAAAGGATACAAAAAAAAAAGCAAAATGCTTATGAATATCGCTTCCCTTATGTATCATCCATTATTTGTTCCATGCCTTCTCAAAACAATTATTATTCCATCTTTAAGATCCAATAGGGGTTCTATTTCATATGGCTGAAGATTTGTTGAGTTTTTTTCTGTCAGACCAGACAATATGTTGTGATAGAAACTTGCTATTAAGGTACACATATATTTTCTTTTACATGTATTTTACCTGTGTGCTTATAGACAAGATGTCTAACTGTCGTGACCAGGGAATTAATGATTCACATACCAACAGAAACTACCTGCCTTTTCTACACAATACTTGTAGGATAGAAAACATCAGATTGCTTTGTTGGAAATCCAGGGATTATTACCTATTGATATACACGATGTCGCATCAGTCTGCAGTTCACTTTAAACCACAGGGAGGCATAGCTAGTCTAATTATAGTAACACCTGGTCAACTTCACTGATCACACAACCTGGACACCCCTATCATAGCACAGTGAGCTGGTCTACAATTTGAATGT